GTCGGCATCATGCGAGAGCATCTGATCACGTGGGCTTCTGTGACATTCGCGTATACAATTCGTCAAACAATGCTTGAACAAATCCCGAATCCGGAGGACCTTCTGGCCAATGCTGGTAGAATTTGGCGAAGAGCTGAGGATACCAGTCGTAGAGCTCGATCACTGCCGTAGGAAACTTGCAAGTGATCATTCAGAGCCCCGAATCATCAGGGGTAGCTCGGGTCAGGGCTAACTCGGGTTCGTTTTTCGGGATTCCGAACCCGACTTACCCCGGACCCGACTCACCCCGGATAATTCGGGCGTCCAGAGCCCCGAATCACCAGGGGTATCTGGGGTCAGGGCTAACTCGGGTTCGTTTTTCGGGAATCCGAACCCGAATCACTCCGGACCCGAGTTACCCCGGATAGTTCGGGCGCCCAAATCATTTCCGCTGAATTCACATCACGATCGAAAACAAGGTGAGGGCTTGGAGTGCCAATGTAGGTTCCACTAAGCTCTGCGTACGGGACGCCACTTCCTAAGTACACATCAGCTGTGCCCTTCGAGGCCTCGCACATTTTGAAAAATGACTGTATTATACCTTTCACATGGAATCTCTGAGCCATGTGGGTATGCAAATCTTCAATGAGGTCCATATACTTCAGCTCCTCAGCTCGTGTAAGTTCGTCCTTTGACACGTAATCGCCCGCGACCCAACGAATCAACCGTCGCGGCCCTGGACCTGGCTCCCCCACTGTGAGGATCTCGCGAGCACTCGTATCGTGCTCTGTGTCCGTGATCACGCACCATGGCGGGTGTTTCAATCAGATGTGATAGGGATCCAGCAACACCTCTTTGCTTCGAAATGAGCCAAAGAAAGGAACTGCCACAAGCGCCTCCTCGAAACTGCTCGGCGATAACAGAGCGTCTTCGTCCACCTTCGCCAGGAAGCTAGCGAATATGATCAGATCTTGCAATGCTGAAATTCTATACGATCTGGGTTTCGACCAGGTCGTGCCCAAACACACCGCACCCTTGTCTACCCACTCCGCGCATGGCATCAAACCCTTACCATATGGCGCGTAGCTTCTAGCTTCCAACAGTTTTGGCATTGCCATACGGAGCTCGTTCAAGAAATCACCCAGCGGCAATGAATACATATCCAATCTAAAAAACGGGAAGGTGTGATTGCTCAAAGCACGGCGGCTCTGATCTGAGAGCGCTGTGCGGGAGAAATTCGCCGGCCCAACGGGCCAGAGGCGTGCTAAGATCTCCGGTAACTGGTTAACAATATTCTAGTTCGCGCGCGCGGGGCAGCCCCTGGGGGCCCTCGAACGAAAAGTACCCCGGCAAGGTCGGGTCAAGGATGCCAGACCAGGCAATTTTTCGATACCCCTCACGAGGATCGTGGCCTTCGAGGGGGGGGGCCGCAGTCGAGTACCGCCCGCTCCTGCCTCAAAGGCTCCCAAGAGGCCACCAAGAGGCATCCAAGGCCCCAAAGATGCCCCCAATATTCCCCCAAGAGTCCCCCAATTATCCCGGCAAAGCAACCTAACAGCGATATGTAGAAGCATATCTGAAAGCATTCCCCTTAAGATTCAGATGAAAATCCAGTTGTAGAATTCTGCTGTTCTCGCAGTCGTAGTCGCATTCGCGATGACAGTCGCAGCGGCAACGGCAGTCGCAGTCACAGCCTCAGCCTCAGCCTGCCTCAGCCTCAGCCTCAGCCTGCCTCAGCCTCAGCCTGCCTCAGCCTCAGCCTCAGCCTGCTTCAGCCTCAGCCTCAGTCTGCCTTCAGCCTCGGCCTCAGCCTCAGCCTGCCTCAGCCTCAGCCTGCATCAGCCTCAGCCTCAGCCTCAGCCTGCCTCAGCATCAGCCTGCCTCAGCCTCAGCCTCAGCCTGCCTCAGCCTCAGCCTCAGTCTGCTTCAGCCTCAGCCTCAGTCTGCCTTCAGCCTCGGCCTCAGCCTCAGCCTGCCTCAGCCTCAGCCTGCCTCGGCCGCAGCATCAGCCTGCCTCAGCATTCAAAATGTGGCCCAGGAATGGAGTTCTGGGAACTAGAAGAACACGAAGTGGCCTACAGTTGGCTCCGGGCATTCAAAATCATGCCCCCCACGAAGTGGCCTACAGCTTCTTTTGAAGAGCACGAAGTGGCCTACAGTTGGCTCCGGGCATCCAAAATGTGGCCCGGGAATGGAGTTCTGGGAATCGAAGAGCACGAAGTGGCCTACAGTTGGCTCCGGGCATCAAAATGTGGCCCGGGAATGGAGTTCTGGGAGGTCGAAGAGCACGAAGTGTGTGACTGTTGACGAAAAGCGAGCCCGGCTCTGTTCCCGGTTCTCCAGAATGTGGCCCGGGAATGGAGTTCTGGGAGGTCGAAGAGCACGAAGTGTGTGACTGTTGACGAAAAGCGAGCCCGGCTCTGTTCCCGGTTCTCCAGAATGTGGCCCGGGAATGGAGTTCTGGGAGGTCGAAGAGCACGAAATGTGTGATTGTTGGCGAAAAACGATTCCCGGTTCTCCTCCCCGGCACCCGCCCAGGCCCCCCTGAGGAGTCATGATGCTCTCTTTTGACCCTACTAGAAACCTATCAGCAAAAGCTGTTAGGTAAAAACGCTCCAGGGCCGGCGGAATGAGCGAAGCGACGAAATAACTATTCAGCAGCAAGGCTTTGATGACGCATTTTCTCTCAAGCCCCGTACCAGGGGCACGGTGCTTCTCAATGGCTCCATGTTGCAGCAATGTGAACCTATCAGATTCACGGTCCAGGGACATCCGAATAGATATAGCCCGCTGCCTCCGCAACTGTAATATGTCACTCACCACCTGAATTCTGCCACATTCTGTGGCGCACGCTGCCGGCAAAGTTTTGTCGTTTCCATAGAGAGCATTCAAATCTTTAACAATTTGGCTTCTTGAATGGAAAGGCGATGCGTACAAATAAATTCCTGATTTGACCGCCTTCTCCAACAGAGTGCAAGTGGAGGCACGATCTAAGAGAATCTGTGTGCGGGTGGGAGGCAAACCACGGCCTGCCAGGCGGTTCAACCTTTCCCATTTGTGGCAGCCCTTACATGGTTTTGTCTTCTTGCGGTTGGCATCCGCGTAGGATGCTCATCCACATCAAACCAATGGATGCACCGCTTCATATGTAAAGACAAGTCGTACGAACATTTACCACGAAATTTCAAATGCAGAGCCCTGCTTGAAGCCAACACAGTGACCGACGGAGGGTGACTGTGGATGAGTTCATCTACAACTAATGCCACAAATTTGTTGTGACTGCGACGGGCTTTGACTGTGGTGTAAGGTTCCCTGAAACCTGTAGGGGTGTGCCGAATTGGGTGTAAGAGACGCATGCGGGCGGTGGCACTGGGGCCCTCGGTGGAGCTCTCTATGGGGCCAAGAAGCGAGTGAGGGGTGTGCGACGACGACGATGACGACGACGACGATCGACGATCGACGATCGACGACGACGACGACGAACACGACCACGACGATCGACGACGACGACGACGACGACGACCACGACGACGACGCCGACGACGACGACGACGAGGGTTCCCCCGGAGGCCAGCAACCCGCCGAGCCTCGATCCCCGCAGGGTGCTCGATGCCGCACGACTCCAGCTCAGCTGGCAACACGCGAGCCTCCTTCTCCAGCCTCCTCCTCCTCCTCCTCCTCCTCCTCCCCCCGACGACGACGACGACGACGACGACGACGACGAGGGCCCCCTGAAGGCCAGCAAGCCGCCGAGCCTCGATGCCTCGAGGGCGCTCGATGCCGCACGACTCCGGCCGAGCTGGAAGCACGCGAGCCTCCTCCTCGTGCATCCTCCTCCTCCTCCTCCTCCTCGCTCCCCCTCCTCGCCGACATTTTGAGGTTGTGCGCGAAGCTGGGCGGGCAGCAGCACCGGGCCCTTGCTCTGTGCGGGTGGGCTACGCACCGACGCCACATCACAAGACACTTTCAGAGCGCAACCAGCCGTGGCGACAAGGTGAGGGCCCGAGACCCACGAAAGGAAATACGATTGCGCGTCTTCCTGCAACTCGAATGCGCCACACTCGCCTCCCACCTCGCCCTGATTATGTTGAATCCTTACCTTTTGCCTTCCTGCTCCTCCGCCTCCTCCTCCTCCTCCGCCGCCGCTTGATTATGAACGAAACCGATTAATCAGAATGGCGAAAAAGTCGTCGACGTCGGGCGGCCAGGAGGCGGAGGAGGAGGTGGAGGTGGAGGAGGAGAAGGAGGAGGTAGGCGGAGCTAGGAGGTAGATGGTAGGAGAAAGTAGCAGAAGGTAGCAGGAGGACCGAGAAGGGAGGAGGAAGGAGGAGGTACGTAGGAGGAAGTAGTGGAAGGCAGAACGGATTATGGAGAGATAAGAGACAGGAAATATGAGGAATTGGAAGAAAGGATACTGAAATACGATGAGGAAAAGGGTGGGGGATCGTATGTGACCAGTTTCCTCCTCCCACATATATATATATATATATGTATATAGATATAGGTGCCAGATGTGCTGCGGGCACACATGGCTGGCCTCACCTCCTCTCCCTCCCCCCTGGCTCGCCACCTATCCACCTCCCTCCCACTCTCCCCCTCCGTCCCGCTTTCCTTATCTCACTTCCCCTTACAAGCCCGCCTCCCCTGTCTCCCTCTCCCTCGCGCCCATTCCACTGCCGCTCGCCCCTCCCCGTTCCCGTTCCGCCCGCCCCCCTGCTAGAAAGCGGCGGGATCGGAAGAGGGGGCTCCTAAGACCTTGTGCGGCGCCGCCTGCCCCCCTCACACATTTCCCCCCTTCTCCCATTCCTCCCATACCCTCCCATCCCTCATTCTCCCTCCTTCCTTCGCCCCTCTTTCCCCTTCCCCTCATCCCGCCTCGCGCTCATCGCCATTGCACCATCCATTGCCGCGTTCCTTCTCCACCGGTCCTCCGTCTCATCTGCCGCCTGCTCCCCATCTCTTCTGTTCTATTCTGTCTCTATCATCATGGATTGTCACCCTACGTCCTCTCCTCCCACCAGGTCAGCCCCGTGGAGATCTCGAACCTCATGTGGAGCTTGGCCGCGCTGGGTCCAAATCGCGCTCTGCCGTACCCATCCTCTCCTCATCCTCCTATTCGTACGCTTTTTGTCTTACATGCACCTGTTCACACTTTCAGTACTTCTTCTGCTTCTTCCACACGTACTGCATCTGCTACCATTGCTGCGACTCTTACTGCTCCTGCTGCGACTACTTTTGACCCGTCTGTGCAGACAAGCTTCGATGCGACCACCTGTGCCAGCAAAGGCGCATCGGCGGGCCACCATTGGGACACTGCCGCCGCCGCTGCATCTGCTGCTCTGTCGCCGCTGTGGCCCCAGCTGGCCGCCGCACCGCCACCGCACGCGGGTGGCAGGGTGCCCAGAGTGGCTCGCCGCGCGGAGGAGGAGGAGGAGGAGGAGGAGGAGGAGGAGGAGGAGGAGGAGGAGGAGGCGCTGCGCTGGCGAGCCCGAGCGCGGCGGCTCCGGCGGCGCGGCGGCGGCGGGCCGAGCGCCCTCGCCGCTCGGCGACGGCGGCGGCCGCTCCGCCGCCCTCTCCGCCGAACTCAGGAGGGGAAAAAACACAGACACAATGAATCGTCGATCCCCAAGAAAATATAGGGAAATATGGGAAATGTGGGGGAAGGCAAAACCCCAGATCATATGTGGAAATATGGTTTCTCTATTACTATTACTATTATTATCATTATTTGTGTGTATTTCTTTGTGTGTCTCACGGCCCATTCACGAACAGCTGGGACCGGGCGGCGCGGCGCGCGGGCGCCGCTAGAGGCTCGGCCGTGGCGAGCTCGGAGCTGGGCGCGTCTGTCGGTGGTCCAAATATTATCAAGCAGTGGCGACGCGTCCCGGCTCGCCTATAGCCCCACCAAGGTCTTTAGAACATTTCCGGCCGATGTTGTTTTATTTTAGCACGTCGGGCTTTATGCTGTAGGATTATTGTTTTTGTATTTGGAGCATGTTTGCGGTTCTGAGAGCACGTCGTGGAGTGCGTGAATGGCCGGTCCCTGCTCAGGGACCGCCGTCGGCCAGCCCGCTCCGCGCGGCCTCCTGCGAGCGTCGGGAGGGTCGGGCGGGGTGGCCTACATGCCAAGCAGTGGCGAAGTGTCCTGGCGTGCCTATAGAGCCACCGAGCAATATTCTAAGAACCTTCTGTTGTTTACACAGAAATGTTCTCAGAATATTTTGGGGAGGGACTGTCTTGTTTCAACACATCGGGTTTACGTCCTAAGAACATTGTTGTTGTTCTTAGAACATTCTTGGGTTCTAACAGCATTCCGTGGTAGGCCTATAGGAATGCTGGGACGGCCGGTCCCTGCTCAAGCATGGGGGGTGAGGAAGAAGGGGATCCCGGAGGGGCCCTTGAGGGCCCCTGCTGGCTCTCAAAGGGGGCCACACGGGGCCCCTTGAGCTCCCCTTTCTCACATCCCCCATCTCGGCCACCCCCCCTGCCCTTCCTGGCCTCCTCTTCCTGGCGGCCGTGTGCGGCCACGAACACGATTGCGGCGCCAAGAACTACCTGGCGCACCTCACCACCTTAGTGGGCCCTGGAAACGACAGGGCAGTTTTTTTTTTACCTGTTCCGTTTTGCCGTTGTTTTGCCGGTTCCGACGCCGTTTTGTTACCGGTTCCGTCGCCGTTTGTTGACCGGTGCCGGCTCCGGCTCCAATCCTGGAGCTGTTTTTGTTGTCGTTTCCGGTCGCCGTTTTTGGCTGTTTCCATTTTCAAGGGGCACTTTTCTGGAAACGGTGACAAAAACGGCCCTGCCGTTTCCGGGGCCCACAAAGCTCACCACACATTGATATGCTCTGCCATCTGATGAGCAGAACTGGTGCTATCAGCCGCCCTGCGAAGGGCGGCGCCGGCGGCTCGGTGCGCTTCCGAGGCGCCGTCCTCGGTGCCTGCGGGGCGGCCGCGCGCTGCTGCACGTCGGGCTGCGGGGGCGTTTCCTGCGGCCGCGGCCGCGCGGAGGAGCCGAGGGCCCCGAGGGGGCCGGGTGCCACGAGGCTGTGTGGGCCCCGGAAACGGCAGGGCCGTTTTTACACCAATTCCAAAAAGTGCCCCTTGAAAATGGAAGCGGCAAAAAACGGCGACCGGAAACGGCAAAACAACGGCTCCAGGATTGGAACCAGAGCCGGCACCGGTCAAAAAACGGCGACGGAACCGGTAAAAAAACGGCGTCGGAACCGGCAAAAAAACGGCAAAACGGAACAGGTAAAAAAACTGCCCTGTCGTTTCCAGGGCCCGCTAAGCCACGGGGTACGTGGAGATGCAGTGGAGACCCATGCCAAGAAACAGGGTGCCATGGGCGTCTTGGATGTCTATGGCTTTGCGATGGAGGGCGTGCGTAACACGTTCCCACGCCAAAGATCGATGGAAATCCTGGGGTCTCAAGGTTGGGTGTTTTGTGGAAGGTCTCGTGTGGACTGGCCTTCACTGTACTTTGCCGTTGTCGGGCGCCCGAAGCCCTCCGCATGGCCCGGGGCCGTCAAGGGACGGCTCGGGCTGAAGAGCTGGTCCTGCGGAACTCCCCCGGGTTTGGCCCGTTTCCCTCAGGACCAGTCTCCTTCATGCGAAGGTGTTCTGGAGGCTCCGACAATTCAGATGTGCCTTGCATTGATCCCACAGTGCCCATACATCGCCGACCTCGGTTTGTGTGTGCCCCACCCTACTCAGCCACGCCCGCATTCGCTGTCGGGGACCCATCGCCGTTCTATCGGCGATGTATGGCCGATGCCATGCCGATGGCCTCCCCCCTTTGAGCCTTCCCCCCCCTCGCCCCCCATCAGATCTGCCATCAGTTCCCTTTGGGCGGGGGGCCTTGTCGCGGACTTGCGCCCTGAGCGCGAAAGCCCAGCAGCATCGCTGTGCTGCTTTGCTGCTTCACGTCCGCCGCTGTTGTTGCTGTTGAGGCCGGCGGGGTCGCACGGCGGTGGACGGTACCGTGTCGTGATCCTCGCGCGGCGGGGATGGGGGGGGTGGACCTTTCTCGAGCCACTGCGTTCCGCCGATCTATCGGCGATGTATCGCCGATTCCGGGTTGATGCCTCCCTCCTGTGCCAGTCCCCTTATCGTTGCCCCTGAGGGCTGGAGAGTGCAGCCTCGCTCAACGCCTGTGTGGAGGAATTTGGAAGGTGCGGCTTCTCGCGAAGTCTCTCCCTCTCTCTCTCGTTCTCTCGACGCTCCTTGTGGATTTTGGAGTGGCGCGGTCAGCAGAATACGCCCGCACCTTTGCGCCAGGTCGACGCGCTCGCGCGGATCCCGGGAGAGGAGAACTCGGGAGGCGGGTGCGGATTTTGGGCGAAGCATACGGAAGAATCAAACAATGATCACACAGATTCGAAACTAGTGAAACTCTAGTGCCCTGCAGAAATTATTTTGACTATTTTCGAGCAGTCCCGAGAGGTGCTTCCCGAGTGGGTGCTCCTGCACGCGCACCCGTCCGGGTTCTCCGTGCCTCTGTGCGCCTTGGGTTACGCCGGGCTTGTCCCCCTACAGGAGGAATTTCGACGAAAGATACAGAATACCCCAAACATAACCAAAAAAAAATCAAAAAATAGTCAGTGGACTATTTTTCGAGTATTTGTTTACCCTTTCGGGGCATTTTTTGCGTATTTCTTGCTTTTCGTCGAGAATCCCCTTGTGGGGAACCGGCCCGACTTACGCCTGGGGCGGCGGCCGGCCCGACGTCTGGGACCGCCCGCCAGCCCGTCCACTCTCCATCTCGCCTCGCTTAAGACAACAAGCATGTCCCCAAACATACCCCCCAAAAGGTAGCAAAAATGCCCAAAACATAGTCCCCAGACCATTTTTGGATTATTTTTGGATTATTTGTGGGGTATGTTTTATTTTTCATCGAAAACCCCTGTGTAGGGGGACAGGCTCGACTTAACACAAGGATGCACGTTGTTCACTTCTAATTCTTCGAAAGTTCTTGATCTTTTGGGGCGGCCACGATCCTTTCATTTCGAATTGTTCTATCCTGGGCCGCTTCCAGGCCACTAGGGGGCCAGGAACAACTAGAAGCGAGCACAATTAGAAATGAACACGATTAGAAATGAACGACGTGTACCCCTTTTTGGGGTCCTCGCGGATTTCTTGGATTGGCCCTGGACCCCCCTGAAGGCGCCGATCCACAGCATCCGCGCGGATCCACTAAAGTTTATGTTTGTGTCGATGTTTCATCTTCGCTCGTCTTCGCACGACACGGCGCCCCGTGAGCTGTGGGCGGCCAGCGGCACCCCGCATTTGCACGATCGGCCCCGCGGCGACTCGTCGCCCGGCGCCGTCCTGCCCCCCCCCCGCGCCGCGCGGCTGCCCCTCTGGGGCTGCGCCGCGGGCGGGCCCAGCTCCGAGGCTGCTGGGGCAGAAGCCCGAGTGAACAAGATGCCCTGGCGCCGAGATTATTCCCCAACCAGTGCTTGCTCTGAAGGGGTCTAGCGGAATTCGAAAGATTTGGCGAAAGTTCCCGTCGATTTTGGTGGCCGGCTGGGTTCTTGGGTTCCCAGTTCCGGGTTCCTGGATTCCTGATTATTGGTTTTGGGCCGGTTTCGGTGGGTTCCGGGGCCCCGGGGTCCCGGTCGATCTCCCTATCGATCTCTTTATCGATCCCTCGATGCATTATCGATCTCATGATCGATCTCCTTAATCATCTCAATCGATCTCACCATCGACTCCTCTTCCTCCTCCGCCTCCTCCTCTTCCTTCTCCCTCCTCATCATCATCAATCTCCCTCCTCCTCCTCCTCCTCCTCCTCCTCCTGATCCTCCTCCTCCTCCTCCTCCTCCATCCACTGATTGGGGTATTTCTCTGGTGTAATGAACATGTGCGGCCCTGGGCCCCAAGTTTAGCCGCACCCACCGCCCACCGCCCCTGGCGTCCTGGGGCATCGATTCCCCAGGCGGCGGCTGTGTATGATTTCTGGCCTCGCTAATTGTCTAGGCCTCCTAGATGGGGTCGGATCAGACGGGGTCGGAAGGTCGCGCCGCATCGCCGATGCATCGCCGATGCGCTTCGATGTGTAGCCCGATGTGCTTCACGTCGATGTCGCCGATGCATCGCCGACGTCGACGATGCGCTCGTGCGTCGACGGTGCATCGCCGATACATCGACGATGCATCGCCGATGCATCGGCGATGCGGCGCGATCTTCCGATCCCATCTACTCCGACTCCATCTAGGAAGCCTCCTAAATTGGCTTCTCTCAAAGAGCGATTAGCACGGCACGTTTTTCGCTGTTTTCGGCCTCCATGGCCCTGCTGGCCCTGGAACGGTCGAAAGACGACGACTCAAAAGCTGTTCGGTCATGGCCTTGTCCAGCGCAACCACATAGTTCTCGCGCCAGAGACCGTAGGGAAAACGCGAAGACCGCCAGGAACCACCGATGGTGGCAGACAGAGCCGAAGTCAAAAGAGAACCGCCCAGGTCCCATGGCCAGTGAAAGAAAAGGCCCATGGTCGAAGACGTAGGATTCAGGATGGAAGGCTGGTCCCGGGGAGGAGGTGGTCGAGACCTTAGCGGGCCCTGGAAACAACAGGGCCGTTTTTTTACCGGTTCCGTTTTGCCGTTTTTGTTGCCGGTTCCGAAGCTGTTTTTTTACCGGTTCCGTCGCCGTTTTTTGACCAGTTCCGGCTCCGGTTCCAATCCTGGACCTTTTTTTTGCTGTTTCTGGTCGCCGTTTTTCCCCGCTTCGATGTTCAAAGGATATTTTTCTGGAAACGGTGAAAAAACGGCCCTGCCGTTTCCGGGGCCCACTAAGGTCGAGACTTGCGGGGAGCCACGCCGTGGAAGTCGCGTCGTCTGGGGCCCCTCTGCCCCGTCTTGACCGCGGCATCCGTGGACTTGTGTGGCGCGTGGTCGCTCTGTTTCCCGCTGCGTGCGACGCAGCGGCGTGCAGCAGGGCTGGAACCGCTCGTCCCGTGCCGTTTCGGCAGCTGAGGGTGCTCCCTGGGCGCGACTCTGCGTTCCAGCGGCGGGGCGAGCGGCGACAGCGGCTGCGGCTCCTCGCCGTCCTCGGGGGCCTCGTCCTGGCTGTTCGTGGCTCGGCAGACGGGCCACATAGCACCCTTAGGACGGGAGAGGTCTCCGCTGAGATGAAGGTCACTCCGCCATGTTGAGCGCCAGTCCGGGAGGGGAGGAGCACGAGGAGGGAGAAGGGGAGAGGGCGCTTCTGTGCCCCCAGGCCCCTCGGGATCGCTGGGAGGGGTCGGGGGGCTGGTTCGAGCGGCCTCTTGGTCGGACGGCGGCGACGATACTTCCGCAGCGAAATACGTAGCACCCCGCAATTGCGGATAAGAGTGAGGGGGCGGGCGCGGGCGACGCGGGCGTCTAGCCGGCGGACCTCGTGGCCCTCACTTTCCCTGTCGATGGCGCCTTCCTCCTCCTGCTCCTGCTCCTCCTCTTCCTCGTCAGCGTCCTCGTCCTCATCGTCGTCGTCGTCGTCCGCCTCCTCCTCCACCTCCTCCTCTCCTCCTTTTCCTCCTCCTCCTCCTCCTCCTCCTTGTCCTCCTCCTCCTCCTCCTCCTCCCGCATCCCGATCCTCCCCCCTACTCCTTTCCGTCGTCGTAGTCGTCCTCCTCCTCCTCCTCCCCCTCCCCCTCCTTCCTTTCTCGTCGTCCGCCTCCGCCCACCCTCCTTTTCCTCGTCGCCCTCGTCGTCGGCCTCCTCTTCGTCCTCGTACTCGTCGTCGTCGTCGTCGTCGTCGTCGTCGTCGTCGTCGTCGTCTTCCTCCCTCTGCTCCTCGCCCTGCTCCTCCTCCCCTCCTTCGCGGCAGCAGGCAACTGGATTGTCAATGAACGTATTCAGACACAGCCCCGCCGCAGGCGCCAATGTGCTGTTGTAGAGTCAACGGGGGCCGGATCGGGGGAATGGCACGAGAGCGCTTTCCCAAACCATTGCGAGCAAACCCGCCGCAGGTGCCGATTTGCGTGTTCTGACAAGTTCAGCGCAGGGGGGATCGCTGGTGGGCCACCCGGAACGATTTGGGTCGCGAGTTTATGGCGCATGCGCCAATTTTTTGGCTTGTTCAGTGAACGTAGTTTGGGTCGCGAGTCGCGGGTGGGTCGCGGGTTCTCCATCTCCACCTGGAAGGAATTCAAAAACAGCCCGCCGCAGGTGCCGAAAATTTTAATTCGTACACTGAACGCGTTTTGGGTCGCGGGTGGGTCGCAGGTTCTCCACTTGGGACGAATGCACAAGAAGCGCGCCGCAGGCGCCGAACATTTTGGGTGTGTCGCGGGGTGAGTCGCGGGTGGGTCGCGGTGGGCCGCGGGTGGGTCGCGGGCGTGGTTTGGGTCGCGGGTGGGTCGCAGGTTCTCCACCTGGAACGCATGCACAAGAAACCCGCCGCAGGCGCCGAAAATTTTGGGTGGGTTCGCGCAGGTCGCGGGGGTGTGGGTCGCGGTCGGGTGGGTCGCGCGTGGGTCGCCAAGGGGGGGTCTCGGGGTGGGTCGCGGGCGGGTCGCGGGATGGGTCGCGGGTGGGTCGCGGGTGGGTCGCGGGTGGGTCGCGGGTGGGTCGCGGGGTGGGTCGCGGGTGGGTCGCGGGGTGGGTCGCGGGTGGGTCGCGGGGTGGGTCGCGGGTGGGTCGCGGGTGGGTCGCGGGTTGGGTCGTGGGTGGGTCGCGGGGCGGGTCGCGGGTGGGACGACGACAACAAACAACAACATCAACAACATTAAGAATCCGCGTCGCGGAATTCCACGTCAGCCACGCACCCAGGGACAGTGAATGACCGTACGGTTCAGCCCCGTACGGACACCGGGGGAAGAGGATCGCACGTTGCGCGCCGTCGTGTTGGAGGCGCGCGTGCGCCCTTGGTCCAAACGCTGGCGCACCTCGTTTGGTGAGGCTGCAACTCGCCGAACGAATTGTGTGTTTGCTTTGGGCTGGGGCTCGCCATTCTGCTGGGGAGCGCGGAGCAGAAACGGTTGCGCGGGGGCGCGATTGCGGGCGTGGCGGGCGACGTGGGACGAGTGCGGGGAGAATCATTTACACATGGCTGTGCCGTTGTTTTGCCCCACGAGAGGCTTCCTTGGGGTCGCGCCAGGGCGCGACGTGTCTCGACGCACGGGCGTTAGCAGGTCCGTGTGGGCCAGGCTGTTCTTTGTTGTTGTGTTTTGGGGTCTTGAAAAGTTCCCCCCCAAACCGTTGGTGGCCCACCAGTGCAGACAGTTTGGGAGGTCCCCATCTCGGCGGCTGTCCCACGGGAGGATGCTGCGCGGGTTGATCTCCTCTGGGCGGGTTGGCCTTATCTCGGTATCATTTAACCGATCCCCATCCCCATCCCCATCCCCTTCGAGACTCCCAACAAAGTACCCCCCCAGTTGGGGATACCCCCCTTGAAACCCGAAGAGAACGGCCGATATCCCCATCTAGGGAGGTAAATCGGCCAACGGGGGCCCAGGCCACGCCGCTGGGGATGGGGATCGGTTAAACGATACTCATTATCGCTCATATTATTTGTTCTTCTCGGTGCGGTAACCGTCCAGAATTCAGGCGGACGAGTCCTTTGCCCCCAGTTGTGTGTCAGTTTGTTGCAACGTGCGCGCCAGTGCATTGTCTCGGTCTGTGAGGCGATCTCGCATTGGGCAAGGGCAGGGGTAAGAAGTTCCCCACGCAGATTCTGACCGACAGCCATACTGACAGACAGACGACGGCCGAGGACCGACGACGACAGCACGATGGCGGACGACGGCGACGATCACCGACGGCGACGACCACATTGACGACGATGGCGATGACCCCGTGCTTCTGGCTGGAGGTGCGCACTGAGCGCCCGCCCCTCCGCCTGGCTTCCCTTGGCATCGCCGCTTCGTGATGTCACGGAGGATGGTGTTTGTCAATTTTCGGCCGCTGGCCCTCCCTTGGCCCCAGAAGCGTCGAAAAACCAGCTTACGAGCCGGTCCCCGCAAATGGACCCAGACTCGAGATGATCATGACCATGATCAGACCCCGGGACCCAGACTCGCGGGATATCGTCGACGCCGATCTTGGTCATGGTCCATTTGGCCGTCGCCGATCGGCGAGGATGATCCACGAATTGACGATGACTCAGATGGACGATGCGCGATCGACTTCGACGTTTCCTCTGTCTGCCGCGCTGGCGGCCCGCGTAAGCTAGGCGTAAGGTCGCCATGTCGTCTTGCCCAAGGCCCGGTTGTTTTCGTCGTTCGAAGAGGCGCGACGCCTGGTGTCTGGGCCGTTCGGTGAGGCGCGCCCGCCGACGCCGGTCGCCGCTGGTCGCCGCCGGTCGCCGGTCGTCGCCGCGCGGCCAGTGGGATCGCCGCCGGTCTTCGTTGGTCGTCGGTCGGCGGGCGTCCGTCGGTCGACGGTCGCCGCTGGTGGCGGTCGTCGGTCGTCGAGGCGCGCGCCTCCGCGAAGCTCAGGCGACGGCCAGCGTGCAGGTGGGCGGGCTCGTGCCGGAGACCGTGGGCGACGTGGCGTTGCAGCTGCTGGGGGAGTTCAAGATCCAGGAGTGCGCGCACGTCGGGTGCAGTTGCAGGGACGGACGGGTTCAGAGGGTGATGCGACGAGCCCCAATCGCCCATGCATCGCTGATAGAGGGACCCGACCGTGAGGTTTCGCTAGTGGGGGCCTAAAGCGGATCTATCATCGATCTGTATCGCCGATTCCAGGGCGATGTTTACCCCCTGGGCTTGTCCCCCCTACAATCGACCCGCATAGTAAGGATGGGCAGCCTTACCAAGGGTACCTTTGCATCCTCCTTGCCCCCTCGGTGCATCCTCGGCCATTTTCCTTGGCCGCGCCCCGCTCGAAGAGCTCCGAGATTGGCGTCCAAGGCCCTTGCATCCTCATCGCGCATCCTTCTGATGCGGGGCAGCTCTCCCGTGGCCCCCCGGAGAGCCCGGGGCGGCTTGGCCGAGCAGACCGAGTGCGTTCGTGACGGCCCCCGGTGTGTTTCGCTCCACGGCGTTGGCAGGCGGCCCGGGGGGGAGCCTCGAGGTCGAGGCATGGAACGGGTCGGTTAGGCCTCGTCCGAGATACGACGTTGAGGGATGGCGATTGAGAAATTCCTGGGTCAAGGGAGGGAAAGCAACCCGGAGCCGATAATTGACGTTTATTGAACGGCCCTGGGCGTTTCTTAAACAGCCCTGCCCTGTTCGATTCCTTCTGAGGATGCATTTACTAAGCGGCTTCGCGTGTCGGGGTGATTATTGTGGGGGGATTTTCTGCTCTCTGCTTGGGGGCCAGTCACGCAGCAGCGCCTTGGGCGATGACAGACATGCTGGGTTCCAGGCCACCTCGTGGGCGTCGTCGTCGTCGTCATTGAGATTGTCCAGCTGCCTGCGGCAAGTCCCGCCACCGTGCCGGCCCAGCATTCTGCGTGGCGACTGTTCGATGGGGCAAAGGTGGCCGCCACGTGTGACACCTCGTGCCTCCAGGCTTGGGAGGGCCGTGAGAAGGATGGTGAGGATTATGAGGATGATGGGGATGATGCCAATGACCGATGATCGATTGTCGATTATCGGTGATGATGATGATGGTGGTGATGGTGGTGGTGGTGGTGGTGGTGGTCATCATGAGGATGAGTGCGAGGATGATGGTGGTGATCATGATGGTTAGTATGGTGCTGATGCTGGTGATGATGGTGTTGATGACGACGATGACGACGAGGATGATGATGGCGATGCTGATGATGATGCTGATGCTGATGATGATGAGGCTGATGATGCTGATGCTGTTGATTATGATGATGCTAGTGCTGATGATGTTACTGATGTTGATGATGACGATGATGACGGTGGTGGTGGTGATGATGGTGCTGATGATGCTGCCGATAAGCATAGTGTAGAGAGTGTGTGACGGCGCTGATGATGATGCTGCTGCGGATGATAAGGTGATGTTGATGATGAGGACGGTGGTCATGATTCTGGTGGTGGTGGTGGTGATGATGACGAGGTTGATGATGATATTGATGATGCCGATGATGATTATGATGGTGATGATCCTGGTGGTGATGGTGATGGTGATGGTGATGCTACTGGTGATGATGATGAACATGATGATCACGATGCTGTTGTTGGTGCTGATGCTGCTGCTGATGATGATGCTAATGGGGATGATGATGATGATGATGATGATGCCGATGATGATGATGATGATGCTGATGATGATGATGATGATGATGATGGTGATGACCTTGATGCTGATGCTGTCGATGATGCTGCTGATGATGCTGATGCTGATGATGATGATGAGAATGCTGATGATGATGATGATGATGATGATGATGATGATGATGCTGATGATGATGATGATGATGATGATGATGATGATGATGATGATGATGATGATGAAACTCGTTTGGGCCGTCTTTGGGCTGTCTTTGCCTCCTGTGTTGCAGTCGTGGGTGTCGCTTGTGGCCCTCTGGGGCCGTCTTGGGCCCCTCTTACGCCGGCATGGGGTTTTCTTTGGCCGGTTCGGGCCTTCGTGGCCATACTGAGCGTGTCTTCAGGCCGTCGTGCCGCCGTCTTGGCGCCGTCTTGGCGCCGTCCAAGGGCTTTCCAATGCCGCATCGGGTCCCCAGGACCCGTCTTGGGCCGTCTTGGGGCTGTTCTGGATGCCTCTTGTGCCATCGTTGAGTCCTCGTCGGGCGTCTTGAGTTGACGCCAGCCCGAGGAGGCGAGAATGCGAAACTCATTCAACACCCAAGGGAAATCTTTGGTGTTTGTTTCTTCGGACCTAGTTGGAGGTCCTCTTGCAGCCTTCTCTGCCCTCTTTGATGCATCTTGGGCCGTCTTGAAGCAGTGTTCTGCCGCCGCGGGGCCACCTTGAACCATCCTCGAGACACCTTCGGCCATCTTGGTGTCCTTGGTTACTTGCACGGACTGCCTTGGAAGCTCAGGATGCAGATCCATTGTTGTTAACGACGGGTCGTGGCTTGGGAGGCCCTGGAGCGCTTGGGAGCAGTGCCTGGTCATGCGGGACGTGCACGATCCTCGAGCGGGTGCGCGTGGGATGAGGGGTCTAGGAGGTAGCAGCCGTGCGACAATTGCGCAATCCTCGAGCGGGCGCGAATGGAATGAGTGTTCAGGCAGTATCTGCCATGCGGGAAGTGCACCATCCGCGTCTTGGTATCGTCGTTTGAAGTGCTCGAAGGCAATTGAACAAGAGCCCCGAAAATAACCCAGGATGGCTCCAGCAGGGCCGTGATGACTCACGAACATGACGATTTTGCTAGGGACATCCTCAAGGTCATGAAGATGTTATAGCCTAGTTTCGATCACGCATCGTTTGTGACGTCTTCTTCGCGTCACTTTCGAAGGGCCGCACGACGAGTTACGCAAGACATCAAACAATGTATTTCCGTGAGGGACATTCTCGTACAACCAATGTTTGCAAGATCGCAATATGTTCATTAGAGGCGGCATTCCGACGGCTCCAAGATCCCACACCTGATCCCACGATAACCGCACTAGCGCGTATCAAGACGAGCGAGCATTGCGTCACCGCCTGGGACATCCCCAGCAAACTACGCATATACCAACATC